GTGCTGGAACTGTGCCGCTCAAGTATGACGCCAGCCTGAGGGTGATGAGAATTTTATCCGGTACAATAGCGCGACCCCTAGTCAATCAATCGCCCAAATCCCGCTGCAAAGGATGAATTCCCGAGCAAGAAAATTGTTCCATGAAGTTAAGCGGCTAAGGTCCCCCCCCCTCCCTCTATGTAGGTGTCTAAAGATAATAAATTCAAAAGGGGCTTCGCCTTATATGGAAATCTCAAAAATCTGGTAAACATGAAGAAGGTGGATTCACGTCAGACTCTTTGAAGCCCAATGGACTTGTTAACTTCAGGTCACCCACGATGATGGGCGGAGCTGACTCGGCCGCTTGCACCTTCTGGAGCGTTTTTCTCGCTTTTGACTTTATCGTTTTCAAAGGGAATGGAGCGAATACCTAGTTAGGTGCTGCTATTGCACAGCATCAAAATCTCATTAGCCCCAATTTGGGTGGACAGTGATTACTGCATACTTTTTATAAAACATACCCATAATTCAATGCTAAAAATCCTAATAAAAGGTAGAACACATAAATCGCAGTCTCTCGTAATGTTACGTGTGGTACTCAAACAGCATTTGCTTTTCTAACTCCTTCACAGTGGCGAGGAACTGCTTAAATAATGGATGATTTCTGTCAGCCGTTGGTGAGATCATAAGATTTGCAGTAAATGGTTCCGGCTCTCTATCCACTTGATGTCCTGAAACAGATTTTTTGAACGGAAAGAATTATATCTATAAATTCCAAAAAAAAGTTTACCTGTGATCATAATCATTCCGGGCGTTAATTTCTGATGCTCAGAGACATTCGGTTCCGACATGCCAATTGATAATTCACTAAGCTGGCTGGTGGGACATACCACAGGTTCCTGCACGGAATAAAATGATTTATGAAAACATAAAAGTTGGTGTGAAAAGAACGCACATTGTCTTCCTGTGTTCTCGATGAAGAGTTGATGTTAGATGAAGCATTCAAAAACGGATTCGGATAAGAGGTCACTGGGGATGAATAGGTAAGTGAGGCAGTTGGTAGACTAGACAGTGTAGAGGCAAGAAGTGTAGTAGACGGAGGATCATATTGAGGCAGAGGGCAGACAGGCAAGCAGTTCGATGGTAGTCCAAGAATTCCTTGTGTCAGAAGATTAGTTGCTGGATCACCATTTGACAGCTGATGCTCTGAAAAATCACACTTTTCACTTGCCTACTGAGCGATGTATTTAGCCCCGAAGCTAAAGGCTACTGCACGATGAAGGCGCAGAAGCGGTATCAGTTGAGCGGGCGCGAACGCGGCGCGCGCGAATCTTTACACTGGTAAATCCCGCGGCTCATGCGCTCTGCGGCTAACAGAGCCGCGTTCGCGCTCAAAAATATTGCGCCTTCGTCATGCAGCAGCCTATATCTTCATACGTATTTGAAGGCAGTGTCCTGGCAGAATTTCGTTTGGAGCCTTCTCGCCATGGATGACCCATACCAGGGCTTTTCCGCGCATGAAAATGGCAAAAAATGAGCCTTTTCCAAGCTTTCCCAGGTCCGCATTCCGTGAAAATACGCCGGAAGTCTTCCGCGCTCCCTCCTTTCGCACTCCTCCCACTAGCGCGTATTTTCCACTTAATGCGGTCC